AAAAATCCATTGTTAAATTCAAGAGAAATTAAATATAAATTTTTTTTTTAGATTTATGATTTATATAGCAACATGTTACAAAAAAATTTGGAATATTATAGATTAGTAGTTGCACACACAAATAGAGTTAAAAAATTAATTATTTACAAAGTAAAATTATTTACTTTTTTAGTTGAATACTTTTATCATATCAAATCTAATTCGACAATAAATACTTTGAAAACATTATAAATGATTTTAATTGTCTGTATGGAGAACATTGTATAAGTAACTGTTTAATTGATAAATTAGAATTTTCTAACTAAAAAAAATGCAAAATATTAGTACACACAGTCGGATCCGAACCTCGTACCCTCAGCGTGACAGACACAAGTGTAACCTCGTACTAATCGTCAATTTCGTTGGATTGAGAAAATTAGCATTTTAAGCTAATTTAAATTTAAAAATTACTTTTTCGATTTTAAAAAAGTAAAAATATTTTAATAAGTTTAATTTCTTATGTCATATGAACTTAATTAGCCACAGGCGGATTTGAACTTAATTCTATATAAATTAAGTTATATAATATTCATGAAAGTCAATGTATTCCCCTTGTAAAATATTTTAAAATAAAATAAAATACAAAACCTAGAATTTTAACACAAAAATAGCACGTTTTTGAATACGGTTGCCACTTTTCACCAAGAATAAAATCTATATTACAATTATTTTTTTCATAGTTAAGTATATAATATAAGCTTTAATTTAAGATTAAGCAAAAGTGTTAATATTTCTGGAACATTTTCAAAAATCAAATTGAAAAAGCTTATTTTGTGTGCAAAAATTGCTTTTTTGAATCCCCCCGTGCCCAGGTTTAGAATCAGATTTTCAAAAAAATGATATCAAATGAAAGGGAAACATCTAAGATTTCAATATAAATAAAAAATTATTATAATTTGATCATTTTTCAAAAAGATATGGCAGTTTTCAGTATTAAAATATTTCATGTTAAACAGTGATTTTTACATAAACATTACATTTTCGTTAAATTCGACGGCCATTTTTCCATAAAGAAAAGGTGATGGGACAATTTTTTTTTTTAGAACTTGTAGTATTTATTGTAAGCTTTAATTTAACACATGTTTAAAGGACGCAGTATTTTCGGAACAATTTCAAAAGTTAAGTTGAAAAAACTAGTATTTGTAAAAGAATTGCTATTTTAAATCCCCCTCTGTGAGCAGGTTAAGTGTTAGATCTTCAAAAAAAATTATATCAAATGAAATAGAAATATCTAAGGTTTTAGTATAAAAAAAAATTATGTTGATTTGTTGATTTTTGAAAAAGTTATGGAAGTTTTAAGAAAAAAAAGGTGAAAAAATGACAAAATTTGTCGATTTTTAAATTTGTAATTTTTTTGGATATTTCCCCCATTTGCGGGGAACGAGGGAAAATTTTTCAAGTGTAATGTCTTCAACTAGATACAAATTGTGATCTTTTAACATATTGTTCATCAAAATCGGTACAGCGAGAGCTGAAAAAAAGTGGCAACAGACACAAAAAAAAAACACATTAAGGTAAAATTAATACCTTCTGAACTTCTCATCGAAGCTAAAAATTGTATTATATTAATAATATAATAAAATGTTTACATGCATTATTTTTTATTTTATATATATAAATACTATCATCAGAAGCTTATAAGTGTTATAAGCTCTACTAACTTTAAGCAATAAATATTGTATAAATACTATTATCAATGAATTAGTATATTTAATGCATGTCTTTAATAAAATAAGATGCAATACATCTTTTTTTATTATTATTAATTAATATTTATCATCTTTATTGAGTTATTTTTGTTAAAGAGGGATGTAAATGCTGTAATGGGGAAAGAAAATTATGCAAGATAGATTTTGCCTCAACAAAAAAAGTTCATAAAGGATATACGTAGCTTAGCGTTTAAATAACAGACTTAATTGAGAACTTTTCTACATTATTTTGTTTCCTAATCAATACTCTAAAAAAGCTCAGTTTATACTTGAGAGCTTCTAGTATCAGTATGGAACCTTAATTAACAGTTACGGTGTTTAAAAGTACATTTATAGGTTTTGTACATATTCAAAAATGTTATAATTTTAAAATAATATATTGTATTCTTATATACACAATGTGTCATCTGTACAAAAAATATATATTTTATACAGATGATACATATATAAGCTTATACAAAGTAATATAGTAAACCCTCGAATTTTAATTATATTTTATTTTATATTAATAAATTAGTCATTATATTAGTAAATATATTTTGTATAGATTACACAGGGGTTCAAAAATTAAGGAAAAGTGTTCTCATTGTTCGTAGCAATTGACTTGTTTTTCTTAACTTAATGAACGTGTAGTATATCAATACTACAGATGGACAGCGAGCAGGCAAAATGTGCTGTGTATAAACAGGGGCGATATCATAGAGAGAGGATGTAAAACCCTTTAAACGTTTTTCACAGAAATACACTTTTAACTATAAATTCTAAAAAAATTGTATATTCGATGCTAAGTTAATAGGTTTTTTAACCTATGACTTTTATTAAAATTTTTTAATCAAATCTTTGACAAAGTTACATCAACATGACATCCTGTTCAATCCATAAAAAATTAACCACGTAAGTATTAAAATCCCAAATACCATAAATCAAGTGAATTTGCTAAGTGGTAGCTGGAAAGTGGTATACATATCCAAAATATTAAAATAGGGGTAGGATCATTTGACATGCATAATTTCAAAACTAATAATGTGCGAATTTAAATAAGCGAGCTTGTTTATAATGCGTTATATTCAGAAAATTTTGTTGGGTTTAATTAAATACAGTTAAAATTATGTATGTGAAGTTTTATATTTATTTTTAAATATTAAATATGTCAAAAAAAGCCTGTTATGCTGTGTTGTAAAAAATACTTTTAAAAAGTATTTAAGTATTTACTCATATAATTTCCAAAAAAAAAAATTAAATTACTACCCAAATACTATTAATAATTAAATATTTGAAATAATCTTCAAATACAAAAAAAAATAATTATTGAAATTTGAAGTTATTTTTTTTTAATAAAAAATTTGCTGGTTGCACTTTAAAAACATTATTTATTCAAAATGTTTAACAGACATATTACTCCTTATTTGAATTATTGTATAATTGTAGCACCACCAACACTAAAAACTCTCTCAATTGATGCACTGCTTGGTAGAGGAGTGTTGTATTTAATGAAAAATTGAAAACAAAGTACAGAATTTTTAGCAAAATTATACTACTTATATTTTTCCGAGTATCCAATTATCTTACTTTTTTAATTATGGGTATATATCCAAAAATTCTAATGTTTTTGCTGTAAATGTACCAAAGAATCTGTCAATTTCATCACTAACTGTTGACTTTTTCTCATAGATATTTTGTGTCCTGGTAAAGAAGCTAGATAAATCATCATGAATTTGGTCATAACCTGTAGAATCATTTTCCCTAATATTTTAGTGAAACTCATAACAGGCATTTTTTAAATACTCGGTGGCCATTTGTTTTTTTATTTCATTTTTAATCCAGGCTGTTTTAAATTGTAGGTAGCAGACAGCAGCAGTAATTCAAAATTTGTTTATCAAAGTATCAGAAAACCTTGTTTCTATACCTAAAAGAAGAGAGTAACATTTAAATATTAATATCAACAAAGTTTGTTTTTATTAAACTACTCAGTGTACAAAAACATAAATATTCAGAATTAAACAATGTATATATAATGAATTAAAATATATAGGAACATGAGATACTTATCAATATTATAGAACAAAATTAGCTAAAATAATAATAATTAAATGTGTAAAATAGTAAATGTACTTGGCTGATAAAGTATATTTATGTATTATTACTTACTACATAAACAACAAATATTGTTTTGAGATAAATTTTCTTAAAATTATATTGCTTTATAGTTATTGTTATTACATATAATTTACTAAAGCATTTAGTATACCAAACCTTGCATATAATTAAGAATTGTGTGATCATGTGTCGTTTATCCATATTTATAAATTAACTCTTCAATAGTAGATGACATTACTAGAATATAAGTTAGTATCATCTTGTAATAAATCTAGGCTTATTGAAATTGGTCCCATTATTTTTTGACATTGATTTAAAAATACAATGTCACATCTATTAAATCTAAATATATATAAAGACGATAAAATATCAATAAATTATTTATTTTATTTTAGTATTAATCTAATAATAGCCTATTTATCCATAATTATTGTAAATTTTAGTTCATTATTTTTAATTAATTTATTAAGCAACACCATTGCATCATACAATAAATTCCAAAGTCTCATTGGGTATTGTTAAATAAATGCCCAGATTTTGTTTGATTAAATTAGCTGACTTGGTCGAGAGCTCTTGTTTATTCGAACAAAGTGATTCTGGACTGATTTTTAAAAGCAGCATTAGACAATCTATAATATTATTTCATTTTGAGCTTTGATGTAAGGATGAAAAAATATTAATTTTATCATGATTTGCATTTATTTTTTTATTTTTGAAAATAACTCTAAAAAGTTGTACAATATTGATTCTATATCGAATAATTAAGAAGTTTTTTCAATTATTTAATTTATTAAAAAAAAAAACTAAATTCAAGATTAAAATTTCAGCTACACAAACATCAATTACAGAATATTAAAGAGTACTATTAACCCTTAAGAAGTGAATTTATATAAAATAAATATTGTTTTATTACTGATATCAAGTAGAATGAAAATTACCCAAGTAACGTAGCAAAAATAGGACGTAAACATTAAATATGTAATATTAGATTTTGTCATAATTGTGACTAAAATCTAATCAAGCCAATTAATAAAGCAATATAAATATAGACCCTATCTCAAATGTAAGTCGAATGATTGTCCTGTCAAAGCATGCTGCTAGCAAGCATTGAATATTTTTTCCTGGACTTATTGAACTTTTGATACACAACACATATAAAAAATTATTTTTTTTAATTTTACATATAATAAAAATTATATAACATGTATATTGCTCAATATATTGAAATCTCAAAATATAATTTTTTATAAGTACCATTTGAAGATATATATATCATAATATTATTTTAATATTTAATTTAAACATAATTATCAAAAAGTATAAAAAAACGAATAAATGTGTTTATAAAAATTACAAAAATACATCAGCCAATAGATAATTGTCTTAGACCTATTCAAAATATAAACAAAAGATATGTGGTTTCATTTTTTCTTTTGGTTTTTTGGTTTAGTTGGTTTCTTTTCAGATAGTGGTTGCTGGACCTTAATGTTTAATAATGAAGGCATTTCATTTTTAGGTGAGTATATAGGTTTTTGTTTAATATTAATCATTTTTGGTTGATCTGATACGTGATGGTTATTTTGTATACTATTACTATTTTGTTGAGAACGATTAATAATATTATTGTACACCTGTTTAGCATAGTTTTCAATGTCTTTTTGTGTTTGTAAATTTTGTAAGTGAACTGATGGCCCAGGATTGACCTGAAAATTAGAACAAGATGGACTTGAAGTGGAACTTAAAAACTTATCCAACTTATACTTCATTTCTTCTTCTCTAACCTTTTTCTGAATATCATTTATTTTATTTTTTGCTTCATTACTTTTAGAAGGATTTTTTATCATATTATTATTTTTGTAAGTTTTTAGAAATGATTGAGATTTGTTATTTGCTTTAGAATTGTTATTTTCTGCATATTTGGATTTATTATTTTTCTTACTAGTTCTTTTACCATAAGAAATATCACTTCTTTTATCCATCATATTATTTTCTTTCTGGTATGACATACTAGAACAAACCATTGACATGTTTTTCAAATTGGAACACATATTAGGATCTGCATTTTTTCTAATTAGTTGAAATGTGTTTAAAATTTTTACTAGAACATTGGCATAATAAGAAACATCTGCACTTGTTGTGCTACAAGATGATATTGCTAGGCTTATTTCATTAATAATAAGTTCTGCCAAGTTGAATTTTTTGCTTCCTTTGATAAATAAGGAATAATGGTCCTAAAAAAATTATTAAAATTCATTAGTAGAGAATTTTCAAGTAAAATAGTTTGTTAGTTCATATAAATATTGAAATATATAGGGAAAATAAAAATTATCATGTTATGAATTATAAGATAATAGAATATTAAATAATATTTCCTATAAAAATCTACTTGACAAATCCTATACTCATTTTCAATTTTAAAAACTATAGTTTATTATTATTATTATAGGATTAATTTTATAGAAAAAGTATACAATGTAATAAAATTACAAAATAACATCACATGATAGAAATGGGATGGAATATTTTTAAATAAATAGGTAAATAGTACATTAAAAGTTAAAATTCATTTTAGAAGAAAAAACATGAAATGCAAGTTTATTTGTTAAAATATCTTTAAACACCAATTACTTTACGTAGTTCCACTAGTGAAACCGAATGAATACAATTAGAAACTGGGAAGAACTTATGAGGAGAATTTATAAATAGTTCCTAAATTAAGCAACTAATACTTATTTTATAGGACCTAAAATTTCCTAGTAGTTCAGTATTAATAAATGAATACTATAAGTAAACCTTAGATGTATTATAAAGTTTTTAGTAAAATAAGCTTATTAAAATTATTTATAAAAGGTATTAATGAAATATAAATACCTCAGATTTATATAATTCTTTGATTATATCTTCTATTTAAGGGAAATTATATAAAACTATTAAATATAACGTGTGTATAGATATTAGACCTACTCATTAGAATATCAAAATCAATATTTAAAATTTTAACATAATCAATTTTACCTTTAGAAGAGATTGATATAAATTTTAAAATGTAAAATAGTGAGGAACTTTAACCCTTCACTTTTCCTTATTACAATGATTTTATGTAAATGAGGGATCAAGATGTGCCTCTTCATAATTATGTCAGTGCCTCTCTTTGATATTTAATCAAATTTAAAAAAATGTTATGTATCAATTAGGAATTAGAAATTATTAAAATCAAAATATCACATATCAAAATAGCCCATTAAAATGTCAAGTCCTAGGTAACTATCTTATATACCTAAATTGCAATACAACTTTGTCAGTGTCATTGAAACTATAAAGTTGTGTTCCTAAATTTTTGTTTAACCCTTTTCTTATCAACCTCTCTGTAAATCAGTCTATAGTCTAGGCGCTAAACACTAATGAATAGAACTGTATTGCTAATTTATGATGACCAAAATATGAGCTATATGATGGTATTAAATTTTAAGTAACAAACTACTGATTTACATAACACTTACATCACTGTTAATATTTTAGGTGATTGATTGATAGTTGACTACAATGGTGGGCATTAACTAGTTAATTTTTTTTTTAACATTTCAACTTAACTAGTTAATTATTTTTCTAATAAAATTTTTAACTTAACTAATTTAATTTTCCGTTGAAATAACTTAGCTTTTTTCAGTAAATTAGTTAAAGTAACAGTTCAGGTAAATTCGATATTTCATAAAAAAATGTATGTGGTTTAATTTTAAAAAAATGGAAATTCACCCCCCCCCCAAATATTATATTTATATAACTAAATATAATTTTTTGGATTTTTTCAAAAATGTATATGATTTTTAACTGATTTTTTTTTAATAACTGCTTTTAAAGAAAAACAGTGCAACCAACACAAAAATTTATAAAACGAATAAAAAAATTTTTTGTTATCATTAATATTTTTTTCCTAAGTTTAAAAGGTATGATGAGTTGTATGATAGGTTATTAACAGAGGATGGCGAAAAAGAAGTCTATGGACTTGCAAAAGTAAGAAAAAAAAGGTCTAATGATTATCACTATATAAGTTGTATAAAAAGTGTTGATAATAGGGTGCTATCAAGTGATAATGTGTAAAAAGGTGGAAAAAGTATTTTGAAAAATTACTGAATGAGGAGTATCCAAAAGAGACATTAGAGGATATCACATAGAATGGAAGACTGGTAGATTTGATTAGTGAGAAAGAGATATGGGAGACTATGGCATCAATGAAAAAGAATAAAGTAGTAGAAAAATAAATTCCAGATGAAGTACCTGTAGGAGTATGGGAAATAATCTAGGATGTGATAGAAGAGATGGAAAAATTTAAATATTTAGGATCAGTTGTGCAAAATAGCAGTGGTATTGACGAGGATGTCAAACAAAGGATTAAGTGCTGGTGGTTGAAGTGAAGAGAAGCGTCTGGTGTGTTATGCGATAAGAAAATTCTAATGAGGCTGAAAAGTAAGCTCTATAAGACCAGCTATGATGTATGGTTCAGAGTTTTGGTCAGTTGACAAGGAATAGACCAGTTAATGAATATAGCAGAGATGAAAAAGCTTAGATGGATAAGTGGAATGATTAAAGAAGATAAGGAACGACCATATAAGAGGGAGTATAGGTATAGCGTGAATTGTGGATAAGATGAGAGAAAATAGACTTAGATGGTTTGATCATGTTATGATGAGAGAGGAATCGGAAGCTGTAAGAACAGTTATAGAAATGAATTTTGAAGGAAGAAAAGGTAGAGGAAGACCAAAAAAGAGAAGGAATGTTATTGAACGTGATACAGACGGCTAATGTAAACATAGATGTGGAAGATCGTTTTAAATGGAAGTTTAGGATAAGGGTGGTCAACCCCAAGTAGTTGGGATTAAGGCGAGGAAAAAAAAGAAGATTCAACTTTAAAATTTGAAGATCGATTCATAGATTTTCCTTACATCACCAACCAATAAAAAATAATTTTAAGAGATTTTAGCCAAAAAATATTTTTTAAGCAAAATAAACTTTTTTTAAACTAGTTATTTCAACTTATCTTAGCTAGTTAAATTTATAATTTGTTAACTTTTAACTGTTAATTTATCGATATTGACCATACTTAATTTGAGTTAATTATTTTCATTAACTTGCCCTTTATTGATTACTCGGTTTACCTTAAAATAATAATTATATTATAAATATTCTTTTGCCATTTTTTAGTAAAATATATTTCTCAATATTTGAGTTATTCGATATTTTCAAATACATTCTATAATCTTATTTTTAATAAGAACATTAATATTTAACTAGCTTAAATATTAGATAATTATTATTATATTTAAACTGGACGACCCCAAGTAGTTGAGATTAAGGCGAAGAAGAAGAAAATTATTATATTTAAACTAAATTGTAGGAAAACAGCAGCTGAGAAATGTCTAAGCCAAAATTTTGACTTAGGGAAACCTGAGGTTCCTGTATTTTAAAAGAAATTGAATGGTCAGTGATAATTTATCAATAATAAATCAATCACCCTATTCAAGGATTTTAAATTTAAAAATGTAGGATTTTTCTTATTTCCAATAAGAAAAATAATAAACCATATCACATCTGAGAAAAAAAATTTATATTGCTATACAAGGCACTCAGAATTAAATGGGTCAAAATGACATTTTAGAAAAAAATGATATAATTACAAAACTAAAAGATAAAATAACTACTACTCTTTTGATCACAGTATATTTTTAAAACAAAATGCTATTTATAATTAATTTTTTGAAAAGATTGCATTTTTCAAGTTTTTAATTCAATAATCACAGAATTAATTTTTTGTTACTTTCATCCCTTTAGTTCTAGATACTCTATATATTAACTATATAAAATTATTTTATACTTTCTACTAACTTTTATCAGATTATCAGGAATTTCTTTTTGTTCCATTAATATCATGAATTGTTCTACTCCCACTCTTAAATTATTGTTAAACAATATTGAATATGAAGAAATCTGAGACATTATTTTTAATTTATCTAAGTGATCATATTTCTCTAACAATTGAGTTAAATGTGGAATAGCATTCTCCCCTTTTAGATGTTTTTCAGCAATCATCTGCAATTCTTCTGACAAGTAAGAATTATTTATTTCTGCTGATGATTGTTTGTTTGATTTTTCAGATTTTTTAATCTAAAAAAAATAAAACAAAAAAATGTAATTAGGCAACTTGCATTTCTTATTCAGGAACATATTTTTCTTTACAGACAGGATTGGCATAAGGGTTTCATGACCTAGATATCAATTAAGATGCAAATGATCCCAATTATATTGAAAAGTGCCATAATTGTCATAAATATTTTTTTTGATAAACCTTTATACATAGTGATCTGTTTGTCATAAATTACTCAATGACTCGCAAAATAAATCAAAATTGAAAAAAAAATTGTTGATTTTTTTTGCTACAATACATTCCTAGATTTATAAGTTACTAATTACATGTTAGCATTATCTCTTATAACTTATGGAGATTATAACATTTTTAAATGGCAACTTACATATTTATAAAATAAAAAATGATCTATTTCTCGGGCACACACCACCTTCCCATATATAAAAATGTTAGTAACTTACAAAGTACTGGTTCAAAAGTTATAATTGATCAATCATTTTCTTAATTAGATCATTATCTATAATGCATTATAATCTAGATATGTATATTGTCATTAAAAAAAATTAAGTTGTCAGGTCAATAAGATAAAAGATATAATGCTAAAAAGTAATCAATAACTGATAAATAAATATACATTTTTCTTAATATGGAAATATTTTGTAAATAATTGAGTAAATTATGATAAACTGATCATCCTGTATTGAATTCAAAAAATTTTTTTAGTCATCCAAATAATGTATTGCCTCAATTAGTTTGGATAGTGGAGATTCTTACAATATTTTAATTTTTTAATCAAAAGCTTTATTAACTGTAAATTTCTTACAATATCTTTTGATACTTCAATAGCATTTGTAACAGCTTTAATAACAGATATATCATTTGGAGCCATCTGTAATGCTTCATTCAAGAATTCTTTACCTAATGGAATATCTCTTACCATAGTGGGAAGTGTCATCAATGTTCTTGCACATTTAACAACAATATGGGGATCTTCTGGTTTCATACTCATAATTGTTCTGAAAATATTTAAAAATTAAAAGATAGTTTTAATATATAATCAATTTTATATATTACTTGATCATGTTTACAATTATTTTATTATCTTTAAGATTTTTTTCCATTTTAATCTTTCCTCGGTCATTTTTGTTTGCATGAAAATCACTAACAATAGTATCTCTTTCTAGAAACATTCTGTGAAAATTATACTTGGTATTACAACCATCAGACAGTAAAATTGCATTTTGAATAGCATTTTTCTCTTCTTCAGATGGCCTTGATTTATTAGTATGTAAAAATTGTCTTTCTACAGTTAAAATAATAGAAAGTAAATAAAACCAATATGAACAAGTAGGATTTAAATCACAAGCTTTTTTAACATATTCATTAGCTTTCTTGAAAGATTTTGAATTTGTAGCGTATTCTAAATAAACAGCTGCTTTTATGGCATATACAGCTGCTCTCGGTTTATCAGGAATAATTCCAAACACTGAGATATCATCTAAAAACTAAAAAAATAGTTTAAGACAAACAAAAGATAATTCATTATTTCTTAAAATTTGTTTATAACTTTTATTTTTATTTTGTTGTACTTCATAAATTTAAGTTTTACATCAATTATTAATAAATCTATGCATCAAATTTCATTTTTGGTCTTTTAGGGATATATCAAAGCCTAGTAAACAATCTTATATATATGCAAAAGAAGGAATTGTAAAGTTTTTATATCCCTGAATTTAGGAAATAATTGTATATAATTAAATATAAATAAAGTGTTTATTAGGGCAGATGATAATTTTTTCTAGTAAAAATGTTATTTATTAATTCATTTACATTAAATAATCAAAGAAAATATGTAAAATTTTATTTGTAATTTGTGCTTACCCACTGAGTTTGATCAGTTGAATTTGTTGCAAATAACATATGCGCAAACGTTGACATCATTACGTGTTTCAAACCTATTTTAATAGAATGGTAAAATTCATCAGTACCATTATCTAGTTCTTCAAGCCATTTACCAATTTCAAAAATTTTAAGTTGAGCTATTTCGTGATTGCTTTTATGAAATAGTTCATAACTTATAATGAGATTACCTATAAATCTATTAAAATAGTTATTAATTAATCAATATATTTATTTTAACATTACATTTACCTCTCAAATGTAAATTTTGATGAAGAAATATCTAGATTGTATTTGCCATATTTATTTTCTATGTGTTCAATAATATGTTTTTTATTTGATTTTAAATTCCATGTGAATGGGCATTGTAAATCATTTAATTTTTTTAGTATATCACTTTGAGAATAATCATCAGAGGAACTTGGCATATTATTTTCTTCACTATTTATTTCACTGATAGAATCATTACCAATTTCACTGCAACTATCTATTGATTCATCGTTGTCATTTATAGTCATTGCTTGAGAGAGACAGACAACTTCATTGTAGGGTGAATCAATGTTTGATGTTACATGTGGCTCATTTTGAACATTCGATTTCTCTAATTCTTGTAATAATTTTTCAACACCTTCTCTAGCTATATTAACTATTTCAGAAGATATATTTTTTGAGGTATTTTTAGATTTTTTAAATAAAGAATCGAACATTGAAGAAAACATGTTTGAATAATTAAACTGTGAATGAACAGAATTGATTGACCTGAAAAATAATTTAAATAATTTAACTAATATTCACTATGGATACACCAACAATTATGATCATCAAAATTGTTTACATATTTTCAACAAACTTTAGAAGCTTAGATTATAACCAATAGACTACTAGTAATTTTGTCAATTAAAAATATATTACTGATTGTATTGTAACAATACATATTTCAAACTAGGTTTTCAGGATGATGAAAAAACAAATTTAAATTGAACATTTATTAATATAAGAGGTGATTTTACTTTTATAACATACAATGGAACTGCAAGTCTTACAAAATATATATATGTATTAAAAAATTTTCAGAAATACTTATATCATTATTGATTTCCCTGTGGATAGAGAGGATAAGAATACTTTCACGGCACCTCTGCCAATCGTAAGAGGTGACTAATGAGGTTGTGTCAGATCGATAGCCGTCATAAAAATCTTTATCAAAAAAGTATGAGGAATCCTGAACAAAACTTAGGCGGATTGTCCTATCTCAGATGTACGCGGGGACAACAGAAACTAGTTAAAACGAAGAAGGAAAAAAGAGGCCGACCCCAAGTAGTTGAGATTAAGGCAAGGAAGAAGAAGACTTATATCATAATTGATAAAAATTTCATTTTGTTAATTCTTTAGATATGCACTGTTGGAGTATAAGCAATAATAACTAAATAAGAATTACATTAATCTATCAAAATGCTTTAGATGTACTGTACAAATTTTAAAAATTTTTAATTAAAAATTGACTAATTTTCCTAATTAATTTTAATAAGTTGTTTGATTACCCGGGCTTTAATTTTAAAGGTTTAAAAGTTAAGACTATTTTATGATATATATGAATTCATACTTTAATAGTTTCTATTTTTAAGTTATATAATTACTTAAGATTGAAAGAAAACCAAGAGTACGAACCTTCGACACTGAAAAAAATATTGATAATACTACTAAATTTTAAGAAATAATATTAACCAAGTATCAGTTCCAATTGAGTTGAATTGACACTACACTTAATTGGTAAACATATGAGTTTTGTAATCAATTTTTAGAAATTATATCTAGAGTTAAGACAATATAAAATAAAAATTAATATCATAAGTGTATACAATTAAATATCAATTAATGTTAATGTCATTTATAAAAATAGGAATATTTCTCTGATTATCAAAAACACTTATGACATCTACGTCATTGATAAAACTAGAATTTAAATTGTATGTCACTCTTTGCATAGGTTCGAAAATTATTAAATCACATTTAGTAACCTTGAACGTTGGATTACCGTTAATGATAGCAACGATATATTGATTTTTTATATCGATTAAAGGCTTTCGATATGTAGTAAACAATTAAAATTATTTTGGGAATAACATTCACAGTAAAAAAAACTTCGTCATCAAAAAAACAAAACATTTACAGCTTGGAATAAATTATTTAACATTTAAAAAATATTACTTTAATCTTAATTATATATTGTAGTAAAATAGGCAATACATTTAATATACAAAGTATTTATATTCGATTTATAAAAAAATATTGAAGGCGTTAAAACCAGGGTTGTTACGTTTTAAATAATGCTTGTTTAAAACACCAAAAATGTCAAATATTACATTGGCCTTACGGGACGTTTTAAATTTTTAAATTTATAATTTATGTTTTATACATATTTTTTAATAAACTTGGTTAAAACTGAATATATAAGTATGCATTTTTTTTTGTTTTTTTCTTTTTTGAGTTGTATGTAAAATATTATGTAAAAAAAACCTATCACAGTGGGTCGCGGCACAGTGGTGACGTGCATAATTGGGTGAAGTATAGATTTAAACTGACAGTGATTAAAATCACTCTCATTAGAAACGCTTCCATGCAAATCTGTAGATAGTGTTTAATTCTAAGAAATTGGTGAATAATTACAAAAGCAAAATGAACTCCTATTTGCTTATTTATTACATGAATTTATTGAAATTAAAGTTAAATTAAAACAGGTAATGTCTTCAACTAGATACGATTTGTGATCTTTTGACGTATTGTTGAAAGAAATCGGCCAAGGAGAGCTGAGAAAAAGTGGTAACAGACACAAAAAAAAAAACACATCATAGTAAAATTAATACCTTCTCAGCTTCGCATCGAAGCTAGAAAATGAAATAGTTAAGATCAATATGCAGTCACCAAATTTTATAATTACTATTTACAGTAAATTTATTAGAAAAGCTCTATTTTTTTGCATTTTTATCGTCATACATCCCTTAAATATAAATTATAGTAATCATTTATAATTAACATTTGGTGTTTAAAAATATTCTACAATTGATATGCAGAACTGAATTAATTTTAATGATTTACTTTAACTAAAAAAAAACCAATAAAAAAAAAGTTGTTAAAAAGATCTACTCAATTGGGCGTATTATAAAATTTGATTATAATTGTAAAAATCCATTGTTAAATTGAAGTGAAATTGAATATAATTTTTTTTTTTATATTTATGATTTATACTGGTAGTAGCACACACAAATAATTAAAAAATTAATAAATTACAAAGTAATATTATTTACTTTTGTAGTTGAATACTCTTAGCATATCAAATCTAATTCAACAAGAAATACTTTAAAAATATTAGAAATGAAAGATTATAATTGTTTGTATGGAAAAAGCTGGTTAAGCTACTTTTTATTTGAATAAAAGATTTTTTTTTCAATTTTGAAGGGTTATATCTTCAACTATATACAAATTGTAATCATTTGACGTATCGTTGAAAAAAGTCGATCAAGTGAGCAGGCACGTAGAAATGGGTAGGCCTGGCTCCCCTTAGATTTAATGTGACCCAGGGCCGGCCCACCCAAATTTAAAATTCAATTATTTTTACGAATTATCAAAAATGTGCTAGGCCTTATATACATTGAAATTATTATTAATTTGTGATTACTATTGTGTAATACAGTTATTATTATGGCTATATTTTCATAGAAAACGTAATTTGAAAAAGATAACGTTCTAGACGTAATAATAAATGGAATAGCAGTTACTCCAAACGTGGTGTAGGTAAATTTTTTTTAACTCTGGTCCAACAAATGATAACAAACTACCAAGTATCTGCATTGGTTAGAATCTAATTGTTTACAAAATTCGATAGAGAAATACTCAATGAAAAATTGTTTGATAAATCTTATCTTTTATCTGTTTCTTTTAGCTTCGATGCGGAGCTGAAAAGGTATTGGTTTTACTATGATGTGTTTTTTTTTTTGTGTCTGTTACCACTTTTTCTCAGCTCTCACCGAACCGATTTCTTTCAATGATACGTCAAAAGATCACAAATCGTATCTAGTCAAAGAAATTATCCTTAAAAATTGAAAAATTTCCCTCGTTCCCCGTAAATGGGGGAAAACTCCAAAAAAATTACAAATTTAAAAATCGCTAATTTTCGAAATATTTTCAATTTTTATTACTTAAAATTGGCATAATTTTTTTTTATATAGATGCATGATATCATTGTCTTCCATTTGGTATATTTGTTTTATAAATCTGACCCTTTACCGCCCATAGGGGAGGATTTAAAATGACAATTTTTTCACAAAGAATTAACTTTTTCAACTTGACTTTTGAGAATGTTCCGAAAAGTTTGACACTTTTATATATATCTTAAATTAAAGCTAATGTAATGCACTTTATTATAGANCACTTTTTCAACTTGACTTTTGAAAGTGTTCCGGAAAGTCTGACACTTTTATATATATCTTAAATTAAAGCTAATGTAATGCACTTTATTATAGAAAAAAAAAATTTCGGACTTTATTTTGTCTTCACGGTGAAAATGGCTACCGAATGCTATTTTTGTGTGAAAATTCTCAATTTTATTTTTTACATTTTTAACATTATAATGCTATAACTTATTGAAAAGTGTATGGATCAACACAATTTTTTTATGAGAAATAATATTTTTTAATAATTTCTTTTTCATTCAACATACTTTATCTTTATCAGAATATTAATAAGGAACTATCAGATCATGTAGCATTTGGAATAATCCACCAATTTTTTAAAATTAAATACTATCTAAAGATTTGCATTGAAGCGTTTTTTTAATCACTGTCAGATGTCATTATACTTGATCCAACTATGCTATGTCACCACTGTGCCGCGACCCCCCTATGCTGGGTTTCTTTTATAATTTAGTAGTTACAATAGGTAATTTATTTATTATTTGCGTGCTTTAAATAATAGTAATAAAAATATGACTAAAAACAGGCAGGAATTGTTTTTAATTTTAAATAAAATAAATTTTACATTGTTTATAATTTATATTTATTTTAAAAATTATTTATAACTTGTTAAGGAAAAGATGATGATGAATGAAGTAACAACGGATGAAGTTTTACTTGGCATCGAGCCGTTTAATAAAAGAAGTGAAAAGAGAGTTGCGACACAAAAATAATATGCGAACAAATGATAAATAATAACACTAGTATTACTGTGAAATAACCGTTGACAAAAGACAATAAAAGTTAATCGAAACACGGTGGCGTTTTCTGGTTGATCCGGTGGACAGCGTATCACAGTGTCAAAGGTGTCCCGAAGAAGACTAACTCGACGTATTATTGCGGCGGGGTATACGACGCTAGGCATTTGTTGGACTTTACACCACGACGATAACGCGTGTGTGTGACGGTCCGGTTTACAGTGAAGCGGTGGCTGANACGCGTGTGTGTGACGGTCCGGTTTACAGTTAAGCGGTGGCTGGGAAGGAGCTGACACGACCGCGGGGTGTCAACGTGTGACAACGCCGTGGCCGTGTCAAACTTATTTGTTATTAGTAATTAGGTATAAATTATTTTTTCTTAATATCTTAAAAGTTGAAAATTTAAATCAGCTTATATTCACACCATTATTTTATTTATTTTTCGCAATATGAAAAATTCATCCCGATATTGAAGATGAAAGTATTTTTTTTTTTAATTATAGGTACTATCCATTTTTTATAATACTGTAATAATTAGTATACTTTATACGAAAACATTTTGTTTTTAACCAACCAATGGTAAAATTTTGAACTTGTAAAATTCATAGTATGGGATACTGTCTAAGGAGGAGTAGAGGGAGCCCCCCACAAGCTTTTCTTGGGAAATAAATTATGGAAAATGATACAAGGGCCTAAAATTGTTGGTCCAATAAACATTTTCTGGCTACGTGCTTGCAAGTAAGGGTTGGGAAAATAAATTATAGCCACAAAAAAACCACATAGTAAAATACTATTAACATAAATAAGAAATTTCTTTTCACAAGGGGAGACTACAGTGGTGGGAACCTAGATAATTATTGAAGTTATTGAATCTAAACGAGATAAAAATCAAATGATTTCAAAATTTTTTTCTAACTAAAAAAAAATGCAAAATATTATTAGCCACAGGCGGATTTAAACTTAATTCTATATAAATTAAATTATATAATATTCATGAAAGTCAGTGTATTTTCCTTGTAAAATATTTTAAAATAAAATAAAGTACAAAACTCAGAATTTTAACACAAAAATAGCATATTTTTATATACGGTAGCCATTTTCACCAAGAAGAAAATCTATATTACGATTTTTTTTTTCATAGTAAAGTATATAATATAAGATTTAATTTAAGATTAAACAAAAGTGTTAATATTTCAGGAACATTTTCAAAAATCAAAATGATAAAGCTTATCTTGTGTGCTAAAATTGCTATTTTGAATCCCTCCCTTTGGGCAAGTTAAGATTTAAATAAAAAAAAAATTAATCATCATATTGTAAAAATGTCAAGATCAGCAAATAATGCTAACATTATCTGTAGGGAGAGGACAAATTTTCAAATTTCTACGAAGAGGATAAAAATTATGAAACTGCGAGATTGACGTTTTGAGTACTCACGTCTTCGTCGAGGAGACACTAAACGTTAATTTATATATTCTTACACGCCTCAATAAATTGTGTTTGAAACAATTCTAATATTTTCGTGTGCGTAATACAACTATTATAATTAAAAAATATAATTGTTTGTTTCTGTGGTTAAGACTTTTAGTTTATATTTTATTTTATTTCACTATCATTGTATATTTTGCATGTGCGTCTGGAGTTAACCCAAGTAGCAAAATGATATTTCAAATAAAATGTATTTATTATATATAACAATATTAATTTTTTTTAAGATATGCTTTGTATATTTTAAAAATAATTTTAATAAATATTTTTTATATAATAATTAAAAAACCCAGCAACCATTTTAAAATCTAAGTAAACAATTTAAAATATCTCATAACACTAGTGTAAATTTTGACATTTTTGGTGTTTTAAACATGTTTAAAAAGTAACAACCCTGACAAAAATACGATGATAATTCAATTAGGTAGGATAGTAAAAATCACTCTTACATATATTTCCTTACCAAAGATAGTAGTAAAATAAAAACCCAGCACAGGGGGGTCGCGGCACAGTGGTGACGTGGCATAGTTGGATCAAGATCAAGTGAAAAAGTGGTCTTTTTAAATCCCCCTCTGTGGGCAGATAAAGGGTCAAATTTACAAAAAAAATATATCAAATGATAGGTAAAGACAACAAGCATCTATATAAAAAAAAATTATATTGATACGTTCATTTTTGAAAAAGTTACGGCATATTTTAGTAAAAAAAATTGAAAAAATTTCGAAAATTAGCGATTTTTAAATTTGTAATTTTTTTGGAGGTTTCCCCCATTTACGGGGAACGAGGGAATTTTTTTCAATTTTTAAGGGTAATGTCTTCGACTAGATACGATTTGTGATCTTTTGACGTATCGTTGAAAGAAATCNTTTTAAAAAAAAGTATATCCAATGAAAGATCTATATAAATACTACTTCTCATAAAAAAATTGTATTGATCCATACATCTTTCAAAAAGTTATAGCACTTTAAAGTAAAAAATGTAAAATACAAAATCGAAAATTTTCACACAAAAATAGCATTCGGTAGCCATTTTCACCATGAAGACAAGTCCAGAGGTCAAATTTTTTTTTTTNACCATGAAGATAAGATAAAGTCAGAAATTTTTTTCTTCTATAATAAAGTGCATTACATTAGCTTTAATTTAAGATATATATAAAAGTGTCAAACTTTTCGGAACATTCTCAAAAGTTAAAATGAAAAAGTTAATTCTTTGTGAAAAATTTGTCATTTTAAATCCTCCCCTATGGGCGGTAAAGGGTCAGATTTATAAAACAAATATACCAAATGAAAGGTAATGATATTATGCATCTATATAAAAAAGAATTATATTGATATGTTTATTTTTGAAAAAGTTATGGCACTTTTAAGTAAAAAAAATTGAAAAAATTTCGAAAATTAGCGATTTTTAAATTTGT